GATTAGGCTTACTATGGCAACACAGCTTGTTTCTTATTAGTTAGTTTAGGTTTCAGTGCATTGTGTGCATTTAAAAAGGTTTAATTAAATAGCCAGATTAAGCATATTGTGGAACACTGTCTGGGTTTGGATTGAATCAATTGACAATTAAATAGTGCACCAATTAATACAGTGCACCAGTGCTAAGTTTCATAAAGTTTTTAGTTCTCTCTTGTGAGAGGAAATAGAGTTTTATACTGTCTGAAGCTGATTGTATCCCCTGAATAAATTGCTAAAGCTATCCAATTTGGATTCTATTGATTCTTTTAAAAAAGCTGATCTCCTATCTGACATTATCTCCAATTTCATTAATATAAAACGTAAATTCCTATCACTCACCTTCTTGGTATTCTCTTCCCATTTTTATTAAGAATGGAGGTAAATTTAACTCCAGGTGGATTTCATGTTTTCAGAAATGAAAGAAGAGTCATGGTTCCTTGGCTTCTTTATCTTAGTAGATCTAAGCACCCTAGGAAAAGATACAACCAAGGTCCATTTTGGAGTATTTATTTAGAGATCCTGAAGTAAACTAGATATCACATGCATAACCAGAACATGAGTAGTGTTCTTATTGGTGAAGGAGGAGCTGAAAAATCATTCATCTGAACCTATAGGCCTATGGGACTTGTCCGCTGCCTTTCCCCCCTCCCCACTGTCCCTTAATTGAATAAACAGCTCCTATTAAGAGCAGGAACAGGGGTATTTGCAGAGGGGTCAAAAAAGTCAAGAGAAAGCCTGTAACCACACTTTTGAAACTCTGCAAAACATTTTAAAAAGGGGTGAGCATGTCACTACATGTTAGAAGACACCATCTGACTTTTTGATACCTGCTCTTCCTACCTCCAGCTGATCCTGAGTTGGAGTATAGTAAAGGCTCCACAAATTGTGTTTATCAGTGCTCTTCAACTCTTTCATTCAGTGCCATACCCTTTTGCTTGTGTGAAAACAAGCAAAAGCAAGTATAAGGAGGAAAACAACAAGAAAAAAAACCCCCAAGGGATGGAATTGTACACCTTCTGAGGGAGTACTGATAAAAACCCTGATAAAATATTCCGCTGTGGATGAAACCAAAATGTCCTAACATAATGTAGAGCATAATATTAATGTCTCTCATAAGTGGACAAATAAATGAAAACCTGGTAGCTTGCATATCAGCTACTCATTTTTTCTTCTGCCCTAATTTCTAGATTGTTGGGTTTGTTGATTCCTTGCTAAAAGGTAGTAATATTGCTCTATTCACCATCAAACATCCTTCCCTTGGAGTGGACTATCTTCTACATCTCTGGGTAGATGATATGACTCTAACCAGATTCCAATAAGTCACCATTTTAAGAATTGACTAAGAGAAAAGGTTATGATTAACTCTTCTTGCTATTATCCACCATGTCTGCCTGCAAGAGATAACTTCTAATAAATGTCTGTGAAGAGGACATTTGCCAACTCTTTATAAATTGAGTTTTTAATCTTGGTTTGTCCTTTTTTTGACATTTGTAATAGACCATTTCCTCTGGGATGGATATAATCCTTTCTCCAAACCCCAAGAGATTAAAAAAAAGGATGTTAGCAATGTATTGCAACACAGAATATTGTTTATGATCGTAGAAAGATTAGCTGGTGCAGGTAACTTGATGGGATATACCACCCCCTCTGTGGTGTGTGTGTATGTGTGTGTGTGTGTGTGTGAGAGAGAGAGAGAGAGAGAGAGAGAGACAGAGACAGAGAGAGAGAGAGAGAGAGAGACAGAGATTTGGTTCATGTATGCAATCGTCACACTATATCACAATAAGAATTATTTCTGCTATATGCTTGCTAGTTTCTGGATTTTTAAAATAACATTTCTTATTATACTATTATAGAAATATTATTTTGTTGTGCAAATTAGATCTTAGCACAATGAGACCGAGTAGTCACTCTGGTATCATCCTTCCCAGCTTGGTGTCCTCTAGAGATACTGGTTGATGATTTTCAAAATTCCCACCCAATGCATTGCCAAGCGTTCTGGGTATTGAAGTCCTATACTGCCATTTTAGGAACAATGTACTGTGTTAGGCTGTCAAACTGGAGAAGAGTATATTTACAGGGGTTGGAAGGCTTAGTTACCTGAAAGCAATACTTAATGACTCCTGGATATGTTACATGACTTAGTTGGGAAAATGGGAGTTGAAAAAAAACCAAGGTATGTTTTGTTTAAAGTTTTCTATATAAACAACTCAGGAGAGCACAAGAAAACTGCATGGATGCAGCCTGCAGATGTTCAGTTTTACTTGAGGCCACCTGAACTTTTCATAGCAGAGGGTGGGAAAAACTGCCTGGTGCAATTTAACCCATTTATACTTGGAAGTAGGTCCCGCTGTGTTCCATGGGGTTTCTTCCTTATTCAGTCAACTTAAAATGTGAGTTCAAATGTGAGCTAGCTGGAAACAAGGAGATCCGCAAGAATGCATTATTGCTTTTGGAAAGACTTAACTTAGCTGTAGAGCAGAAGCAAAGCAGTTGCATTCATATAATGTGCTACATCCCAAAAAAATCAAGCCATATTATAACTTGATATGATTCATCCAACATGTGAAGATAATGGACGACTACCTCAATTTACCCAACCCTGTTTTAATCTAATCTAACAGGTTGTACAAACCTAGTCAAACTATTTCAGAACTAGAATCACATGCTTCCTTGACTATGTTCCCTTAATTTTTTTTTTTGTATAATTGTAAATTAACTAGGGGAACTGTAGCTATCGAGATACCAGATATTATTGAATTACAGCTCCCAACATCCCTAGTGAACATGCCCAATAATAAAGTTTTAATTTAACAGCAGTTAGTGGGTCACAAAGTATCTATTTGATTAATAAATTTCAATGCATATAATTTAAAATAAACCAAACTCCTTCCACCTTAGAAAATACACTCCTAGCCATGCCTACTTCATATGACAATCTTATTAACTTCAATAGTCTGTAGTGAACTCCAGAGAAGTAAAACATAATTTTCAATGGGTTGTAATAACTATATTGCAACCAATTATACATAGGTGTCCTATCCTGTTCTCATAGCATGCCAGTCAGCACAAATTCAGTCAAATCTCTGTATTTTAGTACATAATTACTTTAACCGGGTCAAAAAAATCATAATTTGGGACACACAAAGTTCTCACTTGACTTAAGTGTTCCCATAAGACAATCAACGAATGGTGGTAACTTAACTTGTTTTGAATTAACTTTAACCCATGGGAGAAATTTTGTAGCCTCTTTTCAGGCTAACACATTTTATTCAAAGGCAGAAACTTTTGTTAGCTGGCAAAAGTGCTACCAAACTCCTGAGGTGTTTTTTTTTTTTTTGTCACCATGGTCTAACACTTCCTCCTACCATGTCTAATCCTTGGGAATTAATTGTCTAGGTTAATTGACCCATCCTTAGTATTTCTATAATGTCCTAGCTCCCTCATTAACCCTGGTAGGCATGTTGTGAAAATAGCGCTACTGTAGAATGTTGGGTTTGACTCAGAAGAGATTAAGTTCCACACTAATATGTATTGTCAGATGCAGCTGCATATGTTGGGAGAGTGGGAGGAGGGATGAATTTTGGCAATGAAAAAGTTGGGGTGGGAATATACTTGTAAACAAAAGAAAGAGATAATTATGGAATATTAAAGTAAAAGCTCAGAAAAGAGCAGAGGATTGAAGTATCTTAATATGGACCTGTCTGTAAAGGAACTTTTATACGATGATACATCTTTGCATTAGCAAATGGGCTCACCTCAGACAATTTACTTTGTAAAAAAAAACCATAATTGAAGACAAAATTGAACAGGAGATGTAATGGTATGCAGGGATGACCCTGGGAGACAGGAAAAAGAGCTGCAGCCTAGAGAACCATAAATGGATTTTGAAGGGTAGGCTGGGGTTAGGAGGGGTAGGCTGGAGAATGTGTCTCAGAAGGGACTCTGCCTAGTTTTTGGAGAGGAAAAGTAAGGGATGGGAATGACACGTTCAAGCTTGCATGATTCTGTTAAAGCAACCTTGCAATAAAAACAGAGACATTCATCATTGTGCTTCTTGTCTGAACTACTTTAAAGAGCTAAAAAAAGTTCAGTCTACCTGCACACATGATATTTAAGCAGAACCGCTCCTGGTGCAATCAAACCGATATCATTGATGGGATCAGAGATGGGTTTCAGCAGGTTCTGACCAGTTCTGGAGAACCGGTAGCGGAAATTTTGAGTAGTTCGGAGAACCGGTAGTAAAAATTCTGACCGCCCCCACCCCCATCTATTCTCTGCCTCCCAAGTCCCAGCTGATTGGGAGGAAATGGGAATTTTGCAGTATCCTTCCCCTGGAGTGGGATGGGAATGGAGATTTTACAGTATCCTTCCCCTGCCATGCTCACCAAGCCATGCCCACCAAGCCATGCCACACCCACCAATCCACACCCACAGAACTGGCAGTAAAAAAATTTGAAACCCACCACTGGATGAGATCCAATCAGGAAAAGGGAGAATAAACTACCAAGCAAGAATGACAGCCCCAAGGCTTAATTTGTTGGCTTGAAAATTGTTTTTTGTTCAGAAATGATGGGGAGCTGGACTTCAAAGGGGTGCTACCTGTGAAAGGGTTTTCTGGCAACTTTCCACAAACTGCTGACCTCAAACTTGCAAGGCTACATCTCATTGAATTCCTAATTAGCATCATTCTGCTAGGTAGGGTATTGGAAGTCCAGTGTGTTTGGTGAGCATCAAGTTAAGGAAAGCTTTTTTTTTTTTTGGTTATGGGCTGCAACAATCTATATGACTTCCAAATCTCAATATTTTCCTCTGTTTCTTTGCTACACTCTAGTGGTCCTCCAGATTTTTTGCAGACTAAATATGACCTGGATTTTAGCATTGGAAACTCATATGTTAAGTGGATCTTTAAGTGGTGTTGAGAAAGCATGTAGCCATTGAAAGTGTGTCGATCACAATGCTACAGTAGAAATAGAAAACTAATTTATTAATCTTTTCTTTTTCTTTTTGCTATGTACAAGTTTAATGGAGAAATCTTTGTGCCTGAAATCAAAAAGGACAGAATTTGTTTCCCTTTTTAGATATTTAACATTCAATAATTAACAGAGGAAAAATACCCAAGCCAGCTACATCATTTCTTTATCGATCATGCGTCTTGTCTGAAAATTTTAAAAAGCAGAAAGCAGTGAAGAGGAATTCACTTGCTCCTGGTCCTGGCAATTAATAAAACACATCTTTGAAAATGACAGCATGGAGACAGCAGGCTTGACAAAATACATGCCATGGAGAGAGAAAGAAAATGGGAAACTACCACAAATACCATAGTACTGCCATATCAAAGATGTCAACCCCAATGGGAAGCATATCAGGGATTGTTTTTTTTTTAAAAAAAAAAATTCTAGTTAAATCTCAGTTCTAAAAAAAACCTGTAAGTCATAAACCAGGAATTAGAATCTGGTTTCATATCCAGTCTTCCTATGTGGTGAAAAACACCCCAGGGACAAATGCACAGAAGCAAAACTTGGTCTTCTTTCTAAAGAACAGGCTGATAGGATTCTGAATTGGATCCATGGAAACTGCTGGTGAGAATGAAGTCGGCTGCATTTTTGAAAGCCCACTTCCCCGATGAAAATGATTTTTCCTAAACACAAAGGTAATATAATAGTAAGGAAAGAGTTACCATTACCTGCTCTCTAGCATGTTAACCATACTAAATGTAGATTTTTAAATTTTATTCATACAAATGTAAAAATTGTGAAATATTATTACACAAAGCGATTCTGAATTTTATTTCAAAGAAAATAGAACTTCCCTTCCGATGCTAAGACTGGTTGGCTGATCATTGACAAAGCAGAATAGTACGAATGGGGTTGGCTTCTTTGGCCATGGCAGCTCTGAAATCAATTCACAACATGTTTATAATCTGAGAAGGAAATGACAACGACAACAACGACAACAATCCAGGAAAAGTTCATTTGTTTAAATCTCATTTGGTTCCTTCAGGTCATCAGCCAAGCCATCGTACTCAACGGAACGTGGGGACATTCCCAGATACTGCTTCAGGAATTCACTGAACCTTTTCTGGTTGTGCCACTTCCGGGCTGATTTCCGAACACCAATGAAGCCTCCAAATCGTTTTTGGAGCGCTTGCACCTCAGGTTCTTCCATCTGCCCATAGTTGAATGGGCCCCTCAGGAAATCGCCCACCCTCTTGGGAATCTTGAGCTGATCCTGTAAATCCCCAAGTGGAGTTTGGCTTCCATCACTAGTGTCATCTTCTGCCTTTGGCTGACGGATGAGACCACTCAATTTGGACACTTGCTTATCTTCTCCATCGCTAAGATCCACCATTCTGGTCAGGTCACCATGATGTTTCAGGTTACTTCTGCCTCCTTTCAGGCTGCCATCCCACATCTCCAGTGGCCATTTCATTTCTTCCAGGCTACTATGGTCTAGGGACAAAGAACTTTTTTCGCTGATGACTTTATTGCAAAGTCCCCAGGTAGCACTGGAAAACAGTTTCCCTTCACACTCCATTACACAGATCTGTAGGGAGGAAACAAGGACAGTTAGTAATATGCCTCACTTTTTGAATGTAAGGAAAGGTACAAATCATAATCTTTGTGTCAGGGCTCCGATTAATAAACTCAAGCAAATCAGAACTCTGAGACTTGGCTCCTTCTCAAAGGTCCTCTTTAATGAGTACATCATATCGGCACAGCTTCAAAGGAAAACCAAATCTAAAACTTTCCTGCGGTTTCAATATAATTAAACTAGGAAATAACCCCACCCCCAAGTGTCACAGGTAATGTTGGTCAGTTGGGTTAATTGGCGGGCTCTTCAGGCACTCCTTCCCTGATCTTATCTGTTGCCAGTAGAGATGACCTTGGTTCTCATGAGAAAGCTCTTTGTTGTGTCTAGTAATGCATTCCAACCCCCTTCCCCTCTTCCCCCTCTGTGTGACAACTGAGGAACAGAAAGATGGCTGTGGCCAGGTTCCATTTGAAGTTGACACTTTGCTGAAGAAAGTCAAAAAGGTGTATTACAGTAAATTATGTTTAAAATAATCCTGTTTCTGCTTTTTGTTAGACATATAGCTTAATTTACAAAGAGTGAGTTTCAGAATCCATGGCTGCAATAGAGAGGCAATTAAAATATGTTATATTCCTTCTGATTTCCTTTTCTGGAAATTCTTTACAACTTTCCTTAAATCCTACAGGTTTACAGACTAATTCAGAAGTCAAGACATCTGTTTGGGTTTGGTCTTTGCAGTGAATTCACCAAGAATTTTTACTCATGATCTGACAGATAGTGGTAATCTAATAGTAGTAGTGGTAGAAACAGAAGACAGTTTCAAATCAGTCTCCTATTATATGAATAGTGGCCATTGAAGACTGATCAAAACTCGCATTCAAAATTGAATTGTTCAATGGGTTCCTAGGAGCTTGGTGAGCAAATGCCATCGATCTTTCAATATGCTACAGCTTTTGGGTTTCTTTTTCTGGTCCAATCTTCTAAAATTGTTGTTTTTGGCTTAGTCCTGCTCATTCTTCTATGGATTTAATCATGGGGAAGATCTATATGCAGAGTTCTCAGAAGCCAGATGCTCAGGCTGTGTTGCTGTTGAATCACCAGATCTGTCAGAAATTAGGAATCTGTTCTCTGGTGGTGATTATTAATAAGACTAGCCACCCCAGGATGCCTTCAAGAATTTTCAAATCTAGCTGTGTGCCCAGGCATGTGGGGTTTTGGAAACTGCAATCCAGCAATAGCATTGCATTTATACTGCTTTATAGTGCTTTACAATCCTCTCTAAGCAGTTTACAGAGTCAGCATATTGCTCCCAACATCTGAGTCCTCATTTTACCGACCTCGGAAGGATGGAAGGATGAGTCAACCTTGAGCTAGTCAGGATTGAACTCCTGACAGTGGGCAGAGTCAGCCTGCAATACTGCATTCTAATCACTGCACCATCATGGCTCTGACGAATAGATGCAGGATATCTGCTTATCTAATTTGAATTAAATAGTTTTTATTCTTTCTTAAAAGTTTAAAGAGATGAAACATTTAATTCAGGGGAACAATGAGGTGGTAGACTCTACTTGTCACTATTGGTATTGGTTTCCTAAGGAAGTATCTTGAAAGACTTTTGCAGCCATTAGAAACCAATGTTCAAGTGTGTGCTCCTATAAAACATTATACCTGGTCGTATACCTGGTATACGATTGTACCTGGTCCTGGCTATGGGTTGGAGAACATTTCTTGTTCTTTCTGTTTCTTGGAATCAACCCCTCCACACTGAAACTACTCTCCATTTGTCTCTGTATTTTTTTTGGTACTAGTTCTCCAAGGGTTCAAACATAAACATTCATACCTGGAATGCTTATTACCTCTCTAAAACAAAAATAGGGCTTCTGGTCTTTGTACCATTTTGCCCAATAAAGAATTCTAGAGAACTCACAAGCATTTATGTTCAAAAAATATATTGTCAAATGGTAGATTTTGCATTGTTATTTTTAAAAATAAATGTACTTATATTCATTATGTATATACCATCGATTTCACAAGGACTTTTAACAAAGTTATGTAAAAACACTATAAATATTCTTATAAATGAGTGCATCAAATCCCAGGATTTTCTGTCACTCTGGATAGGCTGTTTGTCTAAACATATTTATTTATTTATTTATTTATTTATTTATTTATTTATTTATTTATTTATTTATTTATTGGTTTGATTTATATGCCGCCCTTCTCCGGAGACTCAGGGCGGCCTACAATGCATTAATAGCCTTCATACTTTTGTATATACCTGGCTTAGTAGAGCTTTCGGCCCCCCTTAAGTGATGTTCTTTTTATACAAAGTCAGTTTATTGCCCCCAGAATCCGGGTCCTCATTTTACCTACCTCGAAAGGATGGAAGGCTGAGTCAACCTTGAGCCTGGTGAGATTTGAACTTGCAGTAATTGCAGGCAGCTGGTGCTACTTAACAGCACTTTAGTCTGCTGCGCCACCAAGGCTCATGTCTGTAGATGTACCCAAAAAAACCCCCAACAACCCCATAACATGATGAAAACAATAGCTTGTATACTGTTAAAAGGCAGCTAACCCAACTGCTAACAGAGAAAACAATTGCTTTTAGAAATACTAGCATGATTATAAAGGTTTAGCAATCTGGGCATGAAAAAAGAAAGTGGGATTGATCCCACTTGGCTTTTAATAACCTCTGACAGTGAATTCAATTCCCTTTGAATGAAAGGGAAGTGTCAGACCTGGTTGCCATCTCATAATTGCTTTCCGTTAGATACTAACAATCTCTTTAAATGACTATTTGTGATGAATTAGCTCTGTAGTAAGAAGATGCTGGAACAATATGGTTAGAGTCAGAAAAGGTCTCCTCTGTCCCCATCATGAGAAATAACAGACCTTATTTTTGAACTGGGATTTTCCGGAGTACGTAGTGAGTGTCACCACTTGAGTGAATGTCAATAATTGAGGGCATTTGTGCCTCGCGATCTTTTTCACTTGGTGATCTCTCAGATAGAGTTGAAAATTATCAGCCATTGTCTTTACTTCTTGGAGTCAAACAAGGAGGAATGACTATCACTTCCTGAACCTGAGCTGCCTCAGATAAAGGATTGGAGAAAGAGAAAAGGAGATTTATAAAAAGGGAAAGAACAAGCAAAGCAACCTGTCCCCCTTTGTAATTACAGGTCCTTTGTTAAAGGAAAGGAGGAAACTGACCCATCTGTCAACCTCACCCACTTTATTTCATCAGGACTATTGAAGGGTAGAAATTATCAAGCCAATGAATTCCCCTTAAAGGTCTTGTTAGGAATGGGAGGTGGGTAACAGTTCCTTTTAAAAGAAGAAAACATTTCTTCTTTTCGTCTAAGAAGCTTTTCAACCATTCTGTTGGCATCCTATGGTGACAGAAATTAGGAGCTGCTTTTAAACCAGCACGAACATCGTCATTTGGAAGTATCTTCAGGATTTCAAGTTCTTCATTTACAATCTATGTAAATTATATCCATGTCCACGCCGGGAACTCTTTATCCTGCCTTATGCCATGCTCCAATGCCACATACACAGAATGACTAGGATGTTCTTGTAGGATTTAGGGTTCTTCCAGAAGAGCATTACACAGGTCTTCAGAAGCAGTCCAATTGTTATAAGGGTTGTGAGGATCACTGGGAGAGATCCCTATCCTCTCATTTCAGCCCACTCCCCTCTATATGATTGTGATGGGTGTCAAACTTGTGGCATCACATTGCCGTCACGTGATGTTTTGTGATGTTTTTCCCATTTGTTGAGCTGGGATGGGGCGTGGCCTACACACAGGGGTGAAATGTAAAATTTGTTACTACCGGTTCTGTGGGCGTGGCTTGGTGGGGGGGGTAATGTGACTGGGTGGGCATGGCCAACTTTTTTTAAAAAAAAAACTTTTCAAAGCATTTTTTCTAATGCTTTGAAAAGCCTCTGCCGATCAGGCAACTCAGCTGGGATCGTCAGAGAGGCTTCTTAAAAAATGCTTTGAAAAGCCTCTGATAATCCCAGCTGAGCTGCACGATCATCAGAGGCTTTTTTTTTTAACTTTTAAAAGCATTTTTTCATCGGAAGAGGTTGTAGAAAAAATGCTTTTAAAAGTAAAAAAAAAAGCCTCTGATAATTGTGTGGCTCAGCTGGGCATGGTGTGGGGAGGGGGCAGGGATTTTTGCTACTGGTTCTCTGAACCACCCGCCGCCATCGCTACCGGATTGGGCGATCTGGTCCGAACCAGGAGCATTGTGTGGACCCCAAGCACCAAAAGGCTGAATAGAAGGTCTGACAGCCCAAAGAAGGTGCAATTGAAACAATAGCATTTTCTAGATTATCTAGAAAAAAAACCCTCTTGGTAGTGTGGGCTTTCAGAGAACCTGTATGAAACTGCCTTAAGATCTATTTGGCTCCTGTAATCTACTGATCATTATCTATATTCACATCAAGAAAAACCAGTTGTTTCCACCTCATCTAACATGGTCATCGTATCTTTACTCTCTTGGGGACAGCTTGCAAAAGGTCTGTTCCTTCTGCAGTGCCCTTGGAAGTTGACTCAAGGTGGAGCCAATTATGGAAATTTGTTATTGCTGTATAATGAGGAGGCCATGCGTCATGGCACAGAGCGGAAAGGCTATTCAAATGAATATTAATGATCTGTCAATTGCATTTTCTAATTGTACAGAGGTTCTCCAGCCAGCAGGATGGAGGCTGGTCTAGTTAGCCAATTTTATTCATTCATTCTGACTCTTAAACTGCCCAGCCATGTCAGTAGATAGAAAATTAGCAATTGAAGTTACAGATGAAAGGTTACATTTCATAATGTTGAGAACAGCATTAATGACAACATTCTTACATCTTACTGATGTTAGCCTGAACCACAAGTAATGAACCAAAAGAACAATCATGGTTGTCATATCTCAAGCCACTTGCTAAAGGCAGACAATATCTGCCTGACTGTCCGTGTGTCCACCCATTCACTCATCTTGCAAATTATGGATTTGGTGGCTAACATAGATTAACAAACAAGATTAATAATGAACATTATTTAACTTTGATGACGAAGTGGAGGGAGTGCTTATCCAATTTTATGATACAACATTGGGTAGGCAACTAATATCGTAGAACAGCGTTTCTTAAACTTTTTCTTTCTTTTCCAGTTTTAAAAAATATAGAGATCTCCCAAGGATCTTTTGTTCGTATGAGTTATATTTATCAATATTTACTATATTAAAAATTAAAATGGACACATTTCCTATCACTTCTCGCAACTGTTTGAAAGGATTTTAATATTATATTGGCTTTCAAGACAGGCTGGCGAATAATTTTGACTTCCTGAACCCCTGAGAGGATCTTAGAGAAGGTACTACACTGCTGTAGAAGACAGAAATAGAATTCAAAATGATCTTGATAGGTGAAGCGCACTTGAAAGAATGCTGCACAAAAGAATGTCAAGATCTCTTCTCCATCATTTCTGAACACAGGGCACATGGAATAAAGGATTTAAGTTCTAGGAAAGCAGATTCCAATTGAACATTAATCTTCTTCATAAAAAGAGCAGTTTCACAATGAGACCAATATTCATAGAGGGGGATTCCCATATTAGATAGAAAATGCAGTTTGATTGCCTGAATCCCCTTCCACTTCTATGAATCAGGATAGCAATAGCAATACCACTTAGACTTGTACACCACTTTTAAAAGGCACCAGATTAGAATCTGGGAGACTGTGAGTTCTAGTCCTGCCATAGGCACAAAGCAGCTGGGTGACCCAAATGCTCTCTGTCAGATGTAAATGCCTTATTCTCCAATGTGTAAATAATGTATATATGGAACATCAGAGGTTAACTTATTCTTTGGACTTTAATGTATTCATAACTTACCACTCCCATTCCTAGCTCCACCCCTTGTATATATAAGGAGCCACCCTCACCATTCTCGTCGCTTCTACCTTGAATATTCAGTGAATATAGAATGCCTATCATAATTAAAAAGAAATATATTTAAAGCTTTAACTTCTATTATCTTTATTGAGTCTGATCCTGGAAATATTGCAACACTCTCGTAGCCCTAGGAAGTAGGCAATGGCAAACCATTTCCAAAATCTTGCAAAGAAAACTGCATGAATATCTTCATGTAGTTACCAGGAGCCAAAACTGATTTGAAAGAACATTTCTTTGTTGGTGGATAGAAGAACACAGGGATATTTCAGAATTACCACAGTAAAAAAGCACCCAGTTACAATGTCATTTGGTCAATGATGAGCAGGAGACTTATCTTACCTTGCTATCAGGATGACATCCATGTTTGGAAGAGTCTTTGGGATTTTTGGGGGAGGGAGGGAGGAATGTGTACTGAGATCAAACTAGCTGCATTTCAAAAAAGCTTGCACAGCAGGTAAGACACACACAGAACATGAACATATATGCAAAGATAATTGCTGGGATTACTCACCAGAAGACTGAAGTCATCTTGGTGGCTGTACAGATGTCTGTGGCAGTTCAGGCAGTCCTTCCGGCAATCATCGTGGGCATAGGCCAGCAAGCAGAATGACAAGATCCCCCACAATAGCATCCTCATGATGTCACGTTGGAAGCTACGTGAGAAGAAATTAGAGAATGGTTATTTCCAGTAAGAAAAAGCTTGGCAATGTGTTATCATTGGCACCACCACATCAACAGCCACCTTCCTCGCTCCCTGCAAGGCATCTTGTTCTCTGGCTTTTATTCTTTTCATTAAAACATGAAAATAATAAAGAAACTGGCATGTTACTAAGTTAAGAACTATCCTCCAGCATCACCTCTAGTTACAAAAATGCTTCTGGTTCCACATGAAATATAGAATTTTTAGAAAATAAAAAAGTTGATGGTTACTTCGAAAGTATATTGTTTGGGACTATGCCCACCTCCTCAGAAAGAAATCACCCAAAGTAAGATGTGGGTGAGAACAACCATTTTTAGGGATTTCAGAAGATGACAGGAAATAAACTCACTGGTTTACTTCATGCGCAGCCATTTTGTGAACAGTGAAGTCTCTTTCCCCATATCCCCCAGAAGCCATTTTGTAAGGGCACCCATCACCTGCTCTTAAAATTCCACATATATACAGGAGGACTATCAGAAGTGAAGACATACTTCACATCCTTTGAAGTGAACTGAAAGCAAACAAAGAACAGAGATATGTGTTTTGCTTCATCATTTGTCATTTTTCTCCTCAGGTTTGTTTCTGCAGTACTGAGAAAAAATGTGAGCACAAAATAATAAAGATGCTATATACTGGCTCGTTCATATGATCTGCTTACTGAATTAATTTATTTTTCTGGGATTGCACAAACACTGAATTTTAAGCTTATCTTCCTCTGTGTGTGCGTGTGTGCGCGCGCGCTTTAAGCCCTAATGGAGGTTACCATGCTGGGCAAATATATCTCTCAAGTGTTTGATTTGATTAAGAGTATTGTGGGAATACAAGGATTTGTTCGCGCCTAAAAGACACTGCTTTATAAATATATGTAAATGTACATTCAAAGCAAGTCTATTAATGTCTTTATAAAACAGCATGACTCCAAACAAAAAATAAAGGTTCATTTATCCTATTAGGGAGCTTTATAACTCATCATATTGAATTACTGTGTTTGCATAACAATTGGTTTTATCTAGAAATCTATTCCCATGGACAAATATTTTTCAAAAGTGGTTAATTATAAGTATTTAATGTTTAAACCAAAACATTGCATTCTTAAATTTGTTGGTTAATAATATATATTTCTAATTCAAACTCTATAAAATCACTTATTAGGATAAACATTACGCGAAATTTTTTTTTTTGCACTTTTGTACTTTGAAAAGTTAGTAATAAGTACCCAGATGTGTCAGGCTATAAATCCCATCCTCCTTAACCAGCATAGATTATTTGTCACACAGTCAACCCTACGTTCAGACTGGATTTGGCATTTTTATCTACATATCATTTTCTTCTGGATCATCATGTTACAGTCCAAACTGAGCTCTTAAATGCTTGTCTATTTATTTATTTATTTATAAAATTTATTGGCTGCCCATCTTACCATAGGGTAACCCTATGGTTACCGTATGGTAAGTTTACATGGGTGGCTTACATCTATATTTATCTAGCTACAGCTATTCAGGAGCAAAAGACTGTGTGGTTCTCCTTTTTCTCATTTTATACATGCACATGAACACAGACATTGTGCAAAATTTTGGGAATATTTGAAAAAAGATGCTTGAAGCCAGAGGTGGGTTTCAGCAGGTTCTCACCAGTTCTGGAGAACCGGTAGCGGAAATTTTGAGTAGTTCGGAAAACTGGTAGTAAAAATTCTGACTGGCCCAGCTCCCATATATTCTCTGCCTCCCAACTCCCAGCTGACCGGGAGAAAATGGGGAATTTGCAGTAACCTTTCCCTGGATTGGAATGGGAATGGAGATTTTACAGTATCCTTCCCCTGCCATGCCTACCAAGCCACGCCCACCAAGCCATGTCACGCCCACCAAGCCACACCCACAGAACCGGTAGTAAAAATTTTTGAAACCCACTACTGCTTGAATCACCTTAGACCCAAACATAGCCCCTCTCTGCATGGCTGAGTAATCCAGGAAACAAAGCAGTTGCTTTAAAAGGGAACCTCATATGTTCCAAATCACCTTTTTAGAAACTACTCTGAAGAATCGCACACACCTAGTACACAAATACTTATCACACATTATCACTAGTTTTTCAATATCTTACTGGTTTTCAAATTAGCCCATTAGCTGTATTGCAAAGATGTAATCTTGAAAGCAATTAAGATACTGTAAAATACACTGGCAATGGCATATAGAAAACACACAAAAGAGATTAGTCCCTAGGAATTTATTATTTATATTTTGTTGGAAATAAGTCTGCAGATTGCCTTAAAATGGAACTATGCAGAGTTTTGTAGGAGTGATCTATGAATACTAGGTTTAATAGATAAACTGAACTTTATTATGCATAGTATACCTCTGTATTCCAGGGAGAAAAGGAATTATCTTCACATTAATATCTTATTGTTTTTAATTTTTTAATAGTGTAAAATGCCCAGAGCTACCTGGGAATTAGGCAGCCTAAAATCTAATAAAATCAATCAGTTTTGCTACCAATTTCTCAGAGGCCACATGGCTACCAGATTTGGGTTTGATCAAGCAGACCTTTTCAATTGCAAAAGACCCAATATGACTCATCTACTCATGAACATACAGACCCCTTTTATAGCTTTCTACAGGTATCTCTTTCTCCACACCTGTGTGATTACAAGGTTGACAACTGGAACATCAAGCTCTGCCTTTCGGTCAGCTGAATCTGGTTTGGGGATTCCAAAATCAAGCCAGCAAATTTTAGACAGAGTTGTGTAGGTGGATTTGAAGGGTAAGAGAGATGTCAGCATTACTGCAAATACAAGGAACCTGTGAACAAGCTGTGCAAAGACTAACATTCAATGGATGAATTGTATCCGCTGTTAGGGAAAGCACTACCACCGGTATCGGGGAGTGGAAGATGCCTCCCCTCCCAGCTTGTTTCATTTGTATAACAATCCAGGAAGAAAGTGCTATGCAATTATACATTCACTTAATCTAGCAGAATAGCCCCAGGCAATCCTTCCACCAAGACTGTTAAAAAGGCTAAATTGTGTTGAGTATTCATGAGAATCTGCTCTTTTCATTTCTCTCTCTCTCTGTCTCCTTGTCTCTCTCCGTCTTTTGTAAAACTTCTCTTCTGTGTTTCATTGAATAAACGAACAATGACTCCCAACTAGGTTCAGGACCTTTTGACAGAAGACTGAAAAAAAGTGCTCCCTGCCTAGAAGCAAGGAAATTCTTCTGATAATCCACAGATTACTTATAAACTCTTCATAATCCTACCTCTCTGCTGCCAAAGCTTTGAAGTGAACATTGTGTAAAGCAGCATGCGTAAAACAGCAATGTTCTTTGCTCATCCCCAGGGAAAGAAATGTTAAAAATACTATTTTCTGAATACAGCAGGAAATGTGCATTTTAATAATAATCCTGATAGATGGATGGATAGATAGATTTGGAATTATTTTCTAACAACTGACTGCATATCAGATATTTTTGTAACAAAATTCATATCAGAACAACGGCAGCATTAGGCCAACTAATGAAAGGTTGCACAAATGTGCAAGCTCTTGAAATTTACAAATCTCTTCATTCAAGCAATTTTCTGCAAAGAGCAAGTTGCAATGGGAAGAGAAATTTGGGGAAAGGTAGGCTTATGAAAAAAGAAGCCCTATATTTTAAATGGAGATGAGAGGTGTTTTTTGTCTGAGTGCACCTCTGAGTCTGTTTTGACTCCTAGTGATTGCCTGGTTTAATCCTTACAATTTTTCTAGGCAAAGGTTTTTGGAAGTGGTTTGCCATTGCTTCCTTTCTTGGGTTGAGAGAGAATGACCAGCTGGCTTTGGTCTGGTTTCTAGCCTGGGGCTACACCTAGTCCTTAAGTTATGACCACAATTGGGAGCAGATTTTGTATTGCAAAGCAAGGCATTTGTTAAGTATTATACCCCAAAACAAAGGTATGTTGTAGATTTCATACAAACACACACACACAAAACCTAATGGTTAAGAACTGTGCAACACAGTTGCACTGAGCCTCGGTGGTGCAGTGGACTAAAGTGCTGTTAAGTAGCACTTAGCTGCCAGGTGCCTGCAATTACTGTGAGTTCAAATCTCACCAGGCTCAAGGTTGACTCAGCCTTCCATCCTTCCAAGGTAGGTAAAATGAGGACCTGGATTGTGGGGGCAATAAGATGACTTTGTATAAAAAAGAACACTACTTAGGGGGGCCCGAAAGCCCTACAAAGCAGGTATATACAAAAGAATGAAGGCTATTGCTTAACGCATTGTAAGCCGCCCTGAGTTTCTGCAGAAGGGCGGCATATAAATCGAACCAATAAATAAATAAATAAATAAATAAATAAACAAACAAACAAACAATGGAATTCTACCTGGGGAGAATATGGGTTCTCAATCTCTGGATGCTTTTAAGAAGAAACTGGAACAGCCATCTCTTGTGGATGGTTTAATTGGCTTTCCTGCATATGGCAGAGCATTGGACTTGATTACTTTTGTAGTGCCTTTTGACTCCACAATTCTAAGATTCCATGCTGAGTTAAAAATGCTAGCCATAGTTTAGCTGACCTCAGCTTTTACAACCATTCAAATAACCTAAAGAGGATATGATGAAAGAAAGTAATTAAGGAGAAACTTCCTAACAGTGAGGACAATTAACAAGTGGAACAGCTTGCCTTCAGAAATTGTGGGCACTCCATCACTGGAGGCTTTTAACAAGAGACTAGGCAGTCACTTATCTGAAATAGTATAGGTCCGTGATGGCAAACCTATGGCACGCATGCCAGACATGGTACACAGAGCCCTCTCTGCTGGCACGCGTGCCATCGCCCCAGGTCAGATCTCTGTGGCGTTTCTTTCATGAACCTCTGTTTCCCTGCAAGCAACGTAACAGAAGCTCACGAAAGAAAAAGATCTTAACTCTTGCCACGCTGCCAGTGTTGGGATACCCTGCCTCCTGCCGGACAACTGGTCT